ACGGTACGTACGTACGTAACGTTAACCGGACCATTTTGCACCAGCCCTCCCCCCCCGGTAAATATCGTACAGTCCTAGAGCTGTGTACCGGTACCCAGTACCGATACTGTACCGGAAAAATTGATTAGGTACAGGTCCAAAATACCTAATCCCTCAGTACCGGTACTGTACCTAAACAATTTCACACCAATTTTATGCCTATTTGTGACCTCAAATGTTTAAATAGCTGGTTAACAATGGGTGCCTGTGTAAGGACAGTGTGTTCATGAAAACAAAAACATCTTAGTTTTGCCTACATTTTATCTGAGCATTCGCCATAAACAAAGAATAAACCTTAACTATCAAGTTTATTTATGTTTTTTTGTTATTGAAGGAGTTCAGAAGAGCATATAAATTGGTCGAATTGTTCAGGTACAGGTTCAGGTCCGGACCTGTACCTAAACCTGTGTACCTGTACCTGTACCTGTACCTAAAATTTGTTTAGGTACACAGCTCTATACAGTCCCTTATAGAGTTAGAAGTGGGCTAGAATGACGTTTACATATACTATATCAAACTTTATGGTAAATTCTCTAAGCTTGCACTGCCAGGGTATCCAGAACCGTAAAATTAAGTTTCACAGATATCAAACTCTGGGTAAATTCTGCAAGCTTGTAGCAGTCCCAGGGTAGCCAAAACCATGCCTTTCTAGTTCTATGACTGAATGGGCCAGAGATTGGATCAGGCACAGTTCTGGATAGTCTCTGCACATCCAAGAACTAGATTTGCCCCAGGCATGGTTCTGGATAGTTTACACATATCGTGCCTGAGCAAGGATAAAGCATGGTTCTGGATACTACAGAGCATCAAGGCTATGGACCTTTCAAATTCCCAAGATATATGTACATAAGTCTCATATCTTGGCCACAAGACTTGACTATTATACCAACCATTTCCAAACTTCTACATGTACGAAGCATACACAATGGAAAAGATTTTTTAAGACACCTGTGACCTTAGTTCACCTGCAACGAATCCACCTGTGCGGCAGGGTATTATGGGTTATAAGCATTGTTCAATAATACTAACACATGCTATGGGGGAGGGGGGTGCAGTGTTTGTCATTTTATTAATCATCTGCCGATTAAAACAATGTGACGTTGCTTTTCCAAGCACCCTCTGTGCTCTGTTTAATACAATAAGCATTATCTAAAAGCATGACATGCATGAGCACACCCGATTTTCAGACAGAATACAAACATTGTCCTCGTCAAAGGGAAAAAATGGAGAGTCCAACCCAGGAATCATGGGAGATGTAGGGGTGACCTAGAACAAAGGAGCATGTAAACAACTCTAAACAAAAAACAGCATGTAAACATAAACTAATAGACAACATTGGAAAGGTTGTCTAGAAACTTTTGAAAAACTAAGCTATGCTTATAAAATGTGCCACCTAAAAAAACGTCACTGATACAAAATGAAATCTTTTTCAACAAAACTACATAATGCAAACAACCTAATAGAACTTTCAAAGACAAACAAGGACAGCAAAAGTTTAGCGCATCAAATTTTCAACTGTCCTACTATCTCTAGTTTTCCTCAGAATTAATGTGACCAAGGATACATGAAGTCAGTAATTTGTTAGGAAGTTTATATCAGCCACCTTCTCTGTTAAGTGATGGCTTCACAAATTCCTCTTATTCTATTCAGTGTTACTTATTATTATTAATAAACTTTGTCCATTGAAAACTTGATACACTGCCAGTAACACTTTGTGTTTGAACATTAGGTATTAACTCCATACAATGTTAACTATTAACACAGATAAACTTCCATGCTAAGTGACATACCGGCCTGAGCAAGGGAGAACTGTTAGGCACTTGTCGCGGGTCCTTCCCTTCAAACTTGGCCATGAGTTGTTCAGCCATAGAGCTGATGCGGTCCGTGGCGTGTGCTGAGATGTTATAACTGCTGGGGACATCACCGTTAGCCTTCAGGACCTCCGGTTCTTCTTCCATTGGTGGGACGGAGTCCTGAAGAAAGGAATAAACATATACTTTGTCCCGGTGTTTTTTTAATTGGAGCAAACGTAATCAATTATATCAGTTGCTTACAGCATGGATCAGAAAATGCTGTTTCCAATCCTGGTGTAAGTTGAAAAGTATTATATAGACAGCAGTGTTTTTGTGACTCAGACATGCTTCTTGTGTATGAAATATGTATATTATACAGTAGTTAAAATGAAAACTATTGCTCTGACAAGATTTCACTAAAGCAATGGCCAAAATTTCAGCTTGTATCCTAACACTTTGTGTAGTTTGATAATGTTTTCAGACATTATTTCTAGATACAAGTGTGGTTTTGTCTAACCAAGTCTGTCAGGTATGTGAATAAATACTTACAGTCATATCCTTGTCCTTATGTCTCTTGGACAGTCCAAACAGACCACCACCTTTTCTTCTCTTGGCAGAGCTTTCCTTCTCTTCTGCTTTCTCCTGTAAGATGCATATTATAAAGAAACATGCAGACTTTTTCTATAAAAGAACATGTGAGGAAGCTGGAATTGGGTGCATAGAGACAGTGATGTCAAGTGCAATATGGTAAGGATGTGTTCAATCCCAACAAATTTTTCATCATGACATTCAGCAAAGATCTGAAATAGATGATCATGACCTTCCTAAAGTTCTGTATAATATCATGTACGTTGATGATGGTTGATTATATACAGAAGCAACTGTAGACATTTCAAGTACGTGTAGCATCCACTAGAAATCCACTAGAAACTGATGAAAATTAGGAACATCTGAGTTTTCTGAGCTACTTGGAACATCTGAGTTTTTTTTAAATCTATCCAGTTGCTTGAGTAACAATTTCCTTGTTTTTCTGTATTTTAAGTACCTTGGGAGTTCTCTTCCTGCTGAGACTCTGTCCCAGTTTACTGAGGAGAGACATTCTCTGGACCGGGGAGCGGACGGTGGGAGGGGGGACATTCTCTGTGTCAGGCAGCTCCAGGGTGTCAGGCTTGGTAGACTTGGTCGCCACTACATCACACAAGGAAAAATAAGACAAAAATTAAAGATAGTTTTTACCTATAGTAAATAGTAATTTCTTTGTATTAGCGTGAACTTATCAGAGTAGGAAATGGATGGATGGATGGATTGGTGGATGGATAGTAATTTCATTGAGTCAATCAGTTTTTACATAGAATATGTTCTTGACATCATTTCTTTAGTTAATCATTTTGAAAAAGGGTTCCAAGATTGACAATTTCTCTTTGTTAAACTACAAGCTGCTTTTTATAAAATTCTGACAGATGTAGATAGTGTGGAATGCCAGTAACTTACAGTCTCGCACTGATTGGCATATTCTAAAATAACCCCAAGAAAAATCCACCTTTTTTCTCATGATTTCTTGGAACAATGAAGAAAAGTCTGGATACAATTAAGCTAAATAACATATCAACATTAAATTTTAGACTAAGTACTAAAAGTCAAATTGCTAGCATTGCTGACATTAAAACTAATACTAACAGTGCCCTTTTGACTTTGATCAATCAACATTAACAAAATTTTATTTGAGGACCATTGAGTAAAAAAACAACAACTTACAATCTGGGGGAATGGTGTCCTTAAACATCTCATAAAACTGAGACAGGTAGGAGACCATGCGGAGTTTGTCTGGCACCTCCTTGATGGCCATCTCCACTCCAGTCAACTCCGGTGGGATACCCAGCTCCTTCTCCGCTAGGTCAAAGGCAAGCTGGTTGTTTTTGGCAACGTCTTCTGGATTGAGTGAGTCGTAGTCACTGGAAAAAGCAAAATAAACCATATAATTCAGTTGTGTACGATTATTGAGATGATTGTATCATGCTGATGCTATACATTTAGGAAACAAGATCATAATCGTTATGCCATTCTGGAGAATCTAGGGCATCTTGCTTAATATATGGGTCATATACTAGTATGGGCAGTTGCACTAACTAAGTTGTAACTGGAAATCGAAATAGATTATAATCATCGAACAAGATGACTCTTTACAGTGGTAGAAATACTTTTTTCAGTGTTCTGCAATATTGCAGAATGTAAATATTTTGTTGTGCAATTCGTACATACTTTCTGCAAATACACAGCAAAGAAGCAGTTAATTTCACCCAAAGAAACTGCGCTATCTGGGTTTCGAAGCAAGATTATGTCGTTTGCATAGCAAATCTGGGTAAAACTATGGACATATCTACAAAAAAACAAGAAAAGAAGCAAACATATTTTAACTAAAATTGTGAAAAATTGAGACTCACATAAGCTCAGGTTTGTATCTGTGGATGATGGCACACAGGGCCATACCACTTCTCCAGGAGGTGGTGAGATTTTCTACCCTGACATGCTTGTACCCCTCCGTCTGCCGTTTGGACCAGTCCAACAGCTTGTTGGGTCTCACCACAGATGCTGAAAAAACAAGAACATTTGTAACCTTCTTGATATGCAACATTTTCAATATTTTTCATTTATCTAAAAGAATATCATTGACAATTTAGAGGCAAATCATGAATTTTCATGAATTCTTTAATGAAGGTATCAGAGTCGGACTTGACGCAGGAAACTGAAAACAATAAAATACATTTTACTTGATCAATTAGAAGATGTTCATTCTCATTCAACACAATACAAAAATATTGTAGTGATTTTGTCTCATAGTGGGACAAAAAAGGAAATATCACGTTGAGTGCCAAATGCAACAATCCTACATGGCTGTTTGGAGGGGCAAACTCCCCAGGAAATTGTGAAATCGTAACCATCTGAAAAATATTTCTGTATTTGGAGGGGCAAATTTTGCTGGTAGACTAAGCTTAGTTGCATTACATCTCTTTACATTCCGGTTTTTGTCTGTCAAAAATGATGGAATGGGAAAAATTTTTGTACATCATGAGCAGCAAAATTCCTTCAAAGGACAGAATGACGGATGCTGGCTAGAACACTGGTGTATCTTGTCAATGATATTCAAGTTGCTGACTGACCACTTCTCTGCAGACTTGGTGCAGCAATCCTGGGCTTGTCGATGATGTAAGGCTCGTCCTTGACGGGTTTGTCTGTCGTGTACAGGTGGCGTATAATGTGCTTCGGCAGCCAGGTGAAGTTCAGGTTAGGGTACCTGGTGTTGGGGTCAATACTGTAGGAATACAAACAAAACTTAGTAATTGTGTGCTCTTGAATAAAGAGACACTTTTTACACAACCAAGTGTTTTATTCAGCCGACATTTTGGTCACCTTCCTCAGGGCAATTTTGACTGGTTCACATTGCACAGTAGCACAGGTGTCGATGCTATTGCATAGCACACATGTTGCTACTTACAGATGCATTCCCAAAACTTCCAAACATTGGCTGAATAAAACATGATGGTCCAAAAAATACTATTTGAAAGTTTGTGATTCACTACAGACTCCAGGAAGAATAGTGTGGAATTTATACTAAATAGAGATCTTAAGCAAACAAACAAACAATATTTCTATCATGAAAGTTCATCTGTGTTGGTAGTTACAGATTTCCAACACATCTACATCAGTGTCACCTGGGCATTATGTTTCACTGGACACTGTAAGAATATTGGACACCGAACAAGACTATTTCCTGAGAGGGGTGAAAGAGGCTATTTACATCAGGGCCCATCACCTTTCACTCAACCGACATCGACAGATACCTTTGACCCAGTGTTGATGTCACACTTCAAAGAAGCCACGTGACAAGCTTCACTGGGTCAGTCTACTGAGGAAGACCAGAGTGACTGGTCGAAAGCTCTAGGTGAGAGATTGAACTTCTTTGTTTTGGATCTAAAGTTTTAACTTCAAACAAACAATCCTTCTGTATCTCACCTGTACAGAGTGACGTTCTTGTGCAGGTTTGCAGGTGTGGTCTGTGCCAGGAGTTTGTAGATGCTCTCCCTCTCAGCCAGGACCTCCAGCGGAGACAGCTGGCCCGAGGCGAGCTGTTTCGTCATCCACGCCGAGTCAAATGCACCCAGGAACCCGCGGGCACAGCCCGTACCCATGGGCCAGAAAGGCTGGAACACAGGACAGGGGTTATATAGAGCTTTCATGTTACCATAATTTGAAATATTAAGGATCTGGCTGCCTGGAAAGCTCTAGTTTTGGGGAGGAAAAAAAGAAAAAGGCTAGCACTTGGCCTGAGTACATGGAAGGGCAAACAGGAAACATACAACATATGCTTCAAGCAAACAACAGTACACCTATATCATATTATATGTCTTGGTTGAAAAATTGGGGATTGTCTATGTTTGAAATACTGAGAAGTGTATCAGGTTTTAACTGTCACTCTGCTGATGCTGTCTTTTTGACATCAGATTTGACAGAGAGAAGGTTAATTTGTAACTCAACATAGAGCTTTCAATTCATGTTTTAGGGCATATTTTACATAGACATTCAATGACATTTCACAAGATTTTTATTAGTATTAAAAAACTATAAATTTCACATGCAGACAATGTACATCATACATGTAAATTACATATTTGACATACACTGTCATCAAATGCAACACTAATAATAACATTTAAGAATCTTTGTACTGTATCTTAATGCTTAGAGTTCAGACACTTACCTCCAGCAGACTGTCTCCCACCAAACACTGTAAGAGTCTGTGTCCATTCTTCTCCACTATCCTGCTGGCATTTTCTGCTGCGTACATAGACGTGAAATCAAACATGGCCACGTCGGGCTGCCCGTAGTGGTTGAACGCGTAGTCCAGCCGTGGGAGCTGCTGATTGGTGGAAAAGTCGGCGGCTTCTCGAGCGTACGCCATCAGGGCTTCCTGGTTCACGTTCTCACGGGACAGAAGCATTTCCGTTTCATCATAGTCCTGGAAGGCGAGAACCACTTTGTAAGATTTATCTGGTTTTGGTCAACAAAATGATGTCAGACTTCTGGGGAATATATTGGGTTTTTGTGACCTTCGAGTTCACCCCATTTCCTGTGTCTGACCTTTTGACCTCCTGCTATTCTGGCTGCCAGCCTCCCCCCACCCAAGTGCTGTCAAGCTGCTCCCAAGACAGCCCTATTTCCTGTGCCTGACTTTTTGTCCTCCTGTCATTCTGCGTGTCAATCCTCCCTCTTGGCCTCTGTACTGTCAACCTACTCTGTCTGGACAGACACACAAACCTACAGTTCAGCCACCCAAAACAATACTTCCATACACAGATTCTGAAGTAACTACTTAGTCTACTAGATCTTGGCACAAATCAGAATTTTTTTTCCTTTAGTATGCAAACAGAATATTCGATGCCTTCATTCATCTAGCTGGAATAATTTTAATGGCTTTAGTTTAAAATACATGGGTTCTTGTAGTCAAGTATTGTTTCTTACACATAAGATGACGCCCTTCTTCAGAAGACTTTGTTTCTTTGCTGTCATGACAAAGTAGTGGGTGTCGTCCTTGTAGTACACAATGTTCTCCAGGTCAATTCCTGTAACATATTACAAGTGAGCAGTTAGCACAAAGTACTACTACATTAATGTTAGCCCATACAATTCATCCTTTTGCAGTTACATATTAATTTCCTTAAACTTTAAACAAAAAGGTAGGCAGGTAATGAATTTACAGTCCAACTTGCATTAAGCACTTGTTACTATTACTGATTCTTACATCTAAACCATCACTCATTCATTGGTAGATAGTTTCAAACATTCTTGATGCTTGCCTTGATCATACTTGAAAATTACCTCTTTTCTGTGGCCCTTACACAACAAAATTCTTTGTGTCCCTTAACGTATCTATCTTGTAACTGTTAAACTATAATGAAAACATTGAATGCTACACTGTTTGACTCAAAGTTCACTGACTACATACCTGTACTTTCTTTCAGATCTTGGAAGAACTTCTGGTTGAAGATGAAGGCTACTCCGCTGATCTCCTCCACTCGTGCCTCCTGCCGCGTGTGGCGGTTGATGAAGTTTGCGGTGATGGCGATGGCAAGTTTCCCGCGAAACTCTTTCCTCGGAAATCCTGCGAGGAAGGTGACAGAATATTTAATCTGTGGCAAGTTTATGCTTTTTAGAACTGTTAATCAATACTCTAGCAGCGTCCCTTGATGCTCAATTTTGTTTAATGTACCGGTAACTGTATTATTTTGAGTGCCAAAGGCACATGCTTCCCTAGGAAAATGTTGAAATCTTGACCTTCTGAAATACCATTTCCTGCATTTTTAGGGGCAAATTTTGCTGGTAGACTAAGCTTAGGCCTAGGACAAAAAAAATGTTGTGTTTCCCTGTTTTCCAACCGACCCTAGACTTTTTTTTCTGGGATGGACCCCTGCAAGAGACATAAATAACTGATTAACCTTTTCTAGCTCCATGATCTGACACCCGAGTGATAAAACGATGTACGATGTTGGTTTTCCAACATTAACATTGAAAATAAAAGTGTCGTCATGCAAGTTTTACTTTGTTAAACTGTATTGTATACGTTGGACCCCTATATAGATATCACTGAAGTCTAAAAAAAAAAGAAAAAAAAATGATACTGACCCTAATTTTTTCAGGACTGAAACAGGAAAAACAACAATTTTTCTCCTAGGCCTTAGTTAATGACATCTTTACACACTCATTTTTGTCTATCAAAGATTAGGGAAATTTTTGTCCGTCATGAGCAGTAAAACTCTGTCCAATAACAGAAAGATGGACACTGGCTAGAACACTGGTTGCTACAGCTGAATAGAAAGGAAAGTACTGACCTTCAAGTGTGTTCCTTTTCCCATCTGCTGCAAACAGCACATCAAACTCATACTCAGACACAGGATGGGCCTTGGGAGTGAACTTTGCCGTCCAGCCGATCGCTAGAAAAGGAAGAACACAAGTAGATCAACAAAGTTTGAAGTTATTTCACTATACCGTTAACAGACTGTTATGATATTTTGTTTTAAACTTGCAATTCTTGCAAGACATACATGTACTGTATATTGTGTGTGTCCTGCTTCAAATCCACAAGTCAGCAAAAGTATTGAACATCAAAATGTTAGTATATATAAGTCTGGTTTGGACAGTACTTTTGTACCAAACTACCAATTCTTATCATTATTACACAAGTGAAGGTTAGGAACTTGTAATGGTTAGTGTGAATAAAAAAGCATACACAGGGCTCCCTACACTGCATATTTTCTAATTATTTATCAAAACAGTTTTATGACTTCTATTTCCCTTTTCCAACATTGCCAAAAAAAACAGGAGATCTTTCAAAAAGCTCCAAGTAACATGTACATGTCTTTATAAGGAAAATAAAACGTACAAAATGCAAAATTCAACGTCATTTCAGTTATAGATAATTTGACCTAATGCAGTTCAGAAGCAGCATGAGCCCTGTAATTAGTAGTAGATGAAGTCTATGCTGTAACAGTTATGTCAGGAGGTGCAGGTTTCAGGTGCTCACACCTAGCACACAGGTAAGTACCTGGCAGGCACTTGTACAGTACAGCCTGTTTCTTCTCCCAGAACAAAGAAAAAAGGGACAGAAAACACACAGAAAGCAAAAGAGAAAAGGGTCAATACCATTAAAAGAAAGGACATCTAAAGCAAAATTATTCAAAATCTATTTGATAGTGAAGTTTTAAAAGACAAAGCAAGAATCAAAGAATAAGAGATTGCAAAATTTGTCAAATAAAGATTAGACTATGTACGACATAGATAATATTTGTGTTACAGGTAATATTGAAGATACTCAAAAGACCTAATAGATTTGTTGCATAGTTTAAAACAGGAGTTCTACAAGTAGAATTGTTTGCATGGTATTTGGGGTGGAACACAACCTATGCTTCTGGTCAATGGCTTGTGAATTGCTTTGTTTTCTGCCAAAATAACTGACTTTGAGTTTGACAGTGCATTATCATTAGAGTATACATGTATATAACTTATTTGGATATTAACAGGTACCACTATTTATTGCATGGAGGGAATTCAAACTGGCTACGAGACAAAGATACAGAACATCTACATTGTATGAATGAGAGAGATTCTGTAAACTGGGCCATTATCTTACCCTCAGGCTCCTGTTCAGCGGGAGGGGGGATGATACTCTCAAAGCCGACATTCTCGTGCAGTTCCACTCCTAACAGCAAGGCTACCTTCAGCAGGATACACTGCAGCTGTCTTATACCTGTGCAGAAAAAAAATTGTTTAGTAAAAATTTTATTGATACTCAAAACATTTTTGAAAATCCTGTATATAAATATAACATTGTTTGATTACTTCCTGGTACAGAAGTTCTGTTTTGCGTGGCTGCTTGTCCAAACAGAGTACAAAAGTCATGTAGGTTGATAGCACATGGGTAGGAGAAAGATTGACAGGCAGAATGAAAGGTCAAAAGGTCAGACACTGGAAATGGCTCTGGTCGGAAGCCAGCAGAAATTCATCCTTTCATACTTCACAGAGGTTTGAAATTTTTGATTTCTTATTTTGAAAAGCAGGCAGTTACAACTGTAGACCAATCACGTGGCTTTTTGAAAACATACAAAGTATACTCTTTGGCCTTACCCGCTTTCCAATAGTTGTTTTTCTTAAAACATAGAGGGAAATATTTTGAGGGATCACATGGCTTTTTTTTCCAACCTTCATTTAACCTTGAAAATGTGCTGCAAAGTACACTCTTTGGCCTTTGCTGGTTTTCAAGACTTTCTTTACTTTCAACATAAAGGAAAAGACGCAACATTATGACTTACTTATGTGGTCGAGTTGGCCAGCACAGAATTTTCCGTAGAACTTCTTGGCTCCTAGTTGTTTGAGGTCGTGGATAGTGAAGGGCCAGAGATGCAGAACATTGTTACGAGAGAACCGGTCTCTCTTCTCTACCACCACCACCTTACAGCCCAGCAGGGCTACCTCGATAGCCGACCTGAGACCACATGGACCTGCTCCTATAATCAACACCTGAACAGGACAAACAAGAAAACAAGAAAACATTAAAAACTTCAGCAATCTATGCATTTTCTTTAATGATAAAAATGTAAAATATGTTTGCATTAGGGAACACATCTATTGCAGCAACAACTGTGCTGTACAATGTGAACCTGTCAGAATTCGAAACTTTGGCTGTTGGTTTTGTAACCTCTTGATTCTCTTCTTTGTTTTCTCAAACCCTGGTCCTATACTTCGCAATACACCTATGTTTTTTTTTTCACAAGTTTTCTGCAAGGTCTGAGAATAGTTTCATTATCAAACTATTTGTCCCATTTCTTCTTGAATCTATGGCACATTCATCACAGAAAACCTTCCACTATTGGTACATCACACGATGTCCAGGGTTCTAGGTTGGAAACTCAGAACCCAGCAAGACAAAACATGTAATTATATACATTGATGTAGTACAGCCCTATTCACGAATACTCACCCTTGTATTGGGACAGGCGTTCCCTCGTTGATAGTCCTTGTGAGCTGCCCTCTTGTCTATTTTGGACCACAGTGCCTGTGCCTTCCATGACTGGAGTTTGGCCTTCAGTCTGTTGTAAAAGTTGCGGTAGTCGGAGTTCTTCAGGCCCAGATGGTCGCACAGCTCTCGGAAAGTTCTCAAGATCTGCTGGAAGGTCGATGCCTGGACGAACTGGTCGTACAGCCCGTCCGCGACCGGGTCGTTCTCCGCCTTCTCCCCGTTCCCGTTCATCGCGGTCACGGTCTTCTCACCTTGTCGTTGCTATAGGAACGTCCATCTCACGCCGCTTGTAGCTTTACTTCGATTTCTGAGAGGGCACAAAAAATTGATGTTTTAGTTTTTTTTTAAATATCTTAATATTTATCAAACATAAAAAAGACTTAGATTATGAATTCTACCTTGAACCAAATTTTTGCATAAATCTTAATTATTACCTCATTGATTACAGATAACTTTCTATAAACTACTAGTAGTTTACTGTGTTTACATAATATCAACTACTGTAAAGACCAACTTGTTTTGAATCAACATGTTTCGTATTAAGAGTAAAGGGGGAATTGTTTTCTTGTACAAACTGACATGTTCTAAGTATACCTACAAAAATGAATGAAAGCAAGTTTCCTAATATACAGTAGACATAGTCTATAATGGCACATATACATTTACTTGGGAAAGGAAACTGAATGTGGGAGTTCCAAATGTCAGAAGGACTTCGGAAATAGTCCTTAGCCTACTCACTTCCAAGCCTACGCACACAAAACAGACACCCTCATAAGGTCACATCTAATCTGTTAGGAACATAAAAAAACCCTGCCCAACTCTGCGACCAATCAACACTCTATAAAACCTTCTAAAAGCTTTCCAGGACTGAAAACTCCCTCTGGCCATGGTGCCATCTGTTTCCCATTTGTGTTAGAGTCAACTTAGAGATGGGTCATAAAATGTGGCCATGTTTGGATAACAGTGATCAGAGTTGATGTCATATTATTACCTGTCAGATTCAATTTAACTGATTTGCTAATACAGAATGATGTACATTTGACTTACCAACAATTCTCACAAAATTTTAGAAGATAGTACAAAAATAAGAATTAGAACCATTTGATTCGTAGTATCTTCAGAATCTAGTTTTGTGTCAAAAGGAATATATAATCTTAAGATTCAAGTTCACAGTGGAAAAACAAGAAACTCAGAATATTTAACCTTCTTTCTGCTGTCTGGCATGATAAGCCAAACAAATGTGCAGGAAGAAGAGATAGAGAAGAGGTTAAGAGATGATACTACAATGTAAATATGAGAATAACAATAAAGTCAAAAGTCAAACAAAAGTCAAACCTAGGTATTATCTTACTATGAAGACTACTTGAGATCAAGCATCAAACATTTTTGAAAGAACAAAAAAAGAAAAAAACTTCCTCACAGAGCACTTTTTCTTAGACTTTGTTCCTCAGAAAAAGGCAGGAAGTTGATATCTGAATCCACAGAGTTTGAGAAGGCTTGTGCACAGAGTACTTATAATCCACCTGTAAGCTGTCTCTGTGCTGAAGGACAGGTCTCACATGGAAGTTCTCATCTAATAGGAAGTTGAAAAAAAGAGACTTACACTCAATGTGGGAGGGGGGTGGATGTCTTTTCTTTCTGAATTTTTAAAAGGTGAAACAACATAATACGTGTATGTTACAATTATCTACCAATGTCACCTTTTCTTCAAAACAATAAGAATTGAAAACTTAAATTTTTTTTTCTTTATCACATTCACAGAAATGAAGTCTTCTTGTCTTGGAAGGTTAAGACTTATGTTGAAAAGGTATCAAGGTATCAAGGAGATGTCTAGTGTTTTTCCTTGTCTACTTCTTCATGACTCACAAACATGACTTACACAATCACAAGAATGACTCACTCCTTGAGTAGTACAGCTACTACTACAGGTATATATAACTGTGAGTTTGTAAGAGAAGGAACCCATTGCGGAAGTCTCCATTGAAGTGGCTCAAACTTTTCTGTAGGAACAAAAGCCGTCCCCCTCCACATGTAACCTTAGCCAGTAACATTACCCTAATGGGGGCTGAAGGTGGTGTTTACTCCATACTAAGAACAATTGACTTCAGACATGTTCAAACTGTTGGGGAGTCAACATACACCAACTGGCCTTGGGGAGCCAGACAGATTTTATACATCTATTTGTGTTCAAATCACAATTTACCAGAACTAGAAATTTTGAAGGTCAAGAAATGGGCTTATGAAGAAATCCCTTGTTAAAAAGTGGGGTTTAATTTTGAACTATGCTGGCCAAAACAAAAATGGCTACCTAAATGTAGGATCAAGTATAACAACTGATGCTTTAATTCTCATTTTCCAAAAAGATTTCTATTCTAAGTCTGTTTATTTATCATGACACCATAACAGTGGATCCTTGATGTTCTTTGAAAAATAATATTTTCTTGTTAAAAAAACTTCTAGTATTCCTTATCGCAACACTTCTAAACTGAACATCAGTGTAACAGTTATATATTATCATGATCCCAATGTTGTTACATGGTCCAGCATCTACAACTTTGTCAACAATGTTACTGAGTTGATTTATTATTTGTTTCCAAAGTCTGTTTACTTTGTTCAGCTGCCAGGAGTAACTGTCCTGACCACTTCCAGCAAACTTTGGAGAAAACAAAGGCTAGAATACAACTGAAAGCGTCCAGGTGGCAATGTTTACTTTAATTTTTTGCTACAAGTTTGCATCCTGAGTGCAGAATCAATACATTAACTGACAGTGGAAAATAAGGGCTCCATCAAGGCCGAACGTAGCAGATAATTTGATTACGTAACGGCCATATTGGATCAGGCTGTGACTTGCGACCTTGTACCTTTCTCAAGGTCGAGTTGAGGACCAGATAGAACCAGACATGGCACTGGTAGCCAAGAAGATTTAAAGATTGGGAACTGGATAAGAAGGCATTAAAAAGACATCAAAACAGATGTTTAACACTTTGTTTTCTTGTTCCATGTCGTGACTGACAAAATAGAGGTACATGTACAAGAAAAAAATATAACAATAGAAACAATTAGTACATTGTTAGCTATCCTTGATGTTCATGTACATTTATGACGGTCTTGGAGAAAAAAATCATCGCAAAATTAATTTGATGACAATCAGCAAACATTGACAATTCATGCATTTTATCACTTTTTTACCTTCATGTTTTCAGTGTACACTTTCTATCATAGCTTTCATATTGAGTCAATAATTTGTAAATTCAATATTTGGAATATTCAAAATTACTTCTATCAACTCAATGTAGTCTAGCAAAGTAGGCATGAAAATTGATTTCCACTTTAAATTGCTTGGTATCCAGATTTCTGAAGAACGTAAAGTACATTATGAAGAAGAATGTGGAAGAGTTGATAAAATCTATACTCATATGCTTAGGGCCCAAACAGATCATTGTCTGACCTTTTGACCTCCTGTTGTTTTTTGCCTGTCAATCTTCCACCCACGCAATGTCAACCTACTCTGTCTGGACAAACAAATAGACAAATTCACAATCCCACTTAAATTTAAAATAATTCATACTCACCCCTCCACTTTTCCCCCTATTTCATCATATAATATCATACATCTTTCTTTTCTGTGTCCCATGATATTATACAATACTAGTAAAAACTAAAAAAATCACAATTTTACAACATAGGAAATGACTGTCAAAATTCCAACCAAGCAATCTGAAAATTAGCTGGTAAAAGGTGGAGAAAAAGCATGCCCCCCCCCCAACACAGGAGGGAATTTTCTCACCCGTGTTGTTTACATATCTGTGCTCTATAACACCTACTGACAATTTGTTTGTTTTCCTCCAAGAATAGGTACACCTAAATACATATGCATGGTGAAGTCATGTTCTATATTTAGTAACAGTTGTCAGACAATCAATGGTTAGATATGATTGTTTTCATAGCAGGTGAAAATGTGTTGTCCATATATGTTCACACATATTTTGCCGGTTTTCCAGTCTTTCAATAATTATAGTTCTGGAGATAACATTGCATTTTTGCTGTGTGAAGGCAATGTCAAATATTATATTTTATAACTCTAGGCTTTGGATATACAGTTAATATATCATTTAAACGTCTACTACTACCAACAAAGAAAAATATATGTTACTTTATATGTTATTTACAAATATATTATATAATATAGCAAGGAGGTTGATTTTTCACCTCATTGGTTATAGGAATTTTGCTAGTTTGAACACACAAAACCGAAGTCGTGCAACTTTCTAAGTTTCACAGTTAAGCTGGTGGAAAATCCTACATACAAGCCAAATATTTACCCAGTAAGGAATGCTGGTACAGGTTTGTCAATTAGTACGGAACGTGGGGCCGGGTTCAGTCACGGAATATGACATCAGAGCCCAGGAATCCACATACCTACACATGTGTAATTATTTCTGAGCATGAAGACAATTTAGTGAGGCTAAAACATAAAAAATTTGATATGTAATAGTTTCTTATTTTGTAATTAGGGGTGGGTACCTGTTCGGCTCTTTCAGGTCCAGGTCCAGGTCCAGGTCCAGAGGATCAGGTCCAGGTCCGGACCTGTACCTGTACCTGATTCTGGACACCGGAGTATCAGTACCAAATAATTTTTGCTAAATGATCATTGCTAAATGCTTAATGTATAAGTAACCATTACAATTTTTTTTTATTTTTATTTTTTATTTTTTAAATTTATCTTTTTTTAATTTATTTTTTATTTTATTTTATCCTATTTTAATTTTATTCTATCCTATTTTATCCGTTCTATACATTATCAAGCTTCTCCTCTTGTCCTATGGCTACCAGAACCGAATATATTAATACATTAAACTTCCCAACCAATCACATCGCAGGATTTTGTGCACTCGCCCCCTCTAGCGGTTTGGGCCAAATTGCAGGTCCAAATTTGGGAATCCAAGATGGCCGCCGCTCGGCACAGTTCAGAGCCGATTCCCGAACTTTCCTTGTATTTTCCTTGGTATTTTACGCGATTCAAGCAAAGAAAACAAGTTGACCACAAGAACAAAAGAGTAATACAGCCTTGGGAACCAAATGGTCCGTTTTGTTGGGTACTAATTTCTCATTTCGAGTGAAAAATGTGCGGCACAGTGTGACCATGTGCCAGTGATTTTCGGCTTGATCGATCCGAAGCAAACGCAACCTGTAAAGTTCTCTTTTATGATTTCTAGATGACTATTGGTAATGAAAATATGGAGAATATTGTTGCAGAATGAGAGATACGGAAACTAAGGTAAATTTCTTTTATTTTGAGGCTGGATG